AATGCCAAGCTCTTACAAATAATAATATTGTGACAATTCATGCGATTACTTAAAAGCTGAGCTAAATTTATTTTTCGAGCGGAATATATAAGTAGATTATCATCAGCTTAGTCGGCTGCTAATAAATAATTTGCTATCACGGTTTCTTGTAAATCGGCTTTACTTATTGTAGCCGAGATATAAATTTGTAATATGCATAATCTCCTTTTAAGACAAAAATTGTCGACCTGCATAAATTTTAATAATCGATTTCGTAGCGGTAATCTTTATAATAAAAGTAGATTTTTTAAAGTTTAAAATTATTTATCTTATATATTATACATATATTAGTAAAATAATTATAAAATAATTATGTATCTTATATTAATGAAATAATTATAAAATAAATATGTATCTTATATTAATGAAATATATATTTCTAAAACTATTATAATTCTGAAATTGTGATAAAGAATAACAGCTGAAAATACTTGTAGACTTTAATTATTTAAATTTCGACAAATTGACTCTTTTATCTTTGAAAAGCTTATAGTAACTTGATGTGAAATAAATTTTCAGAAATACAATAGTCAGATGCAAAAGTTATAATTAGTAAAAAACGCGACATAATAACATTGGTAATTAATAGAGATTAAGCAATTGATAAGTGAACACGTTCCAATGTCAACCTTGTTTATCTCGTTGGTGAATGCTTTTTGATTATATTTCGGAGACATGATGATTTATCGCTAAGTCTATTAGGCAAGGGACTGACTCTATCGATTCTTACTTCATCGCACTGCCAACTTGAATAACGTTTTCCATCCGTAACGATAACCGCTGCACGTACTTCAAACGGAGTAGACGATCTGCTTTAAAAATCGAAGCTTCGCGTATAATCTATCTGCAGCGCACGGGTCTGTATAAAATTATGAATTATTCTCCCTCGTCGAATACTTTGTCGTCCAACCGGAATTACAATAACGACTGCTCTTATTTCCAAACTTCGCGCAAACTGTTGATTAGAGAATTCTTTATTATTTTAATAACTAGCTTCGTTATATTCGCCTTTCTGTCGACGATCCGGTGAGGAATTTATTGGAAAACTTGTTGAAATATTCATGCTTTCTATGTGTCATCCGTGATTCTGTTATTGAAAAAATAATTAAGAGCTTTCGAAATATTCTGTATTGTCGCTATAAATACATGATTGATCGCATCTTGACGTAAATTGAAAATATCTACATGCTAGTTAAGACTATGACAAATGACTCCAGCAAAATCTATGGCTCCGAGCGTCCAAAATGTATTTTTTACGCGTGTCATACGGCCCACGTGCACTGACCGAAAATCTCTTTCGACATCGTCTATTTAACTCCGAGTACCTTTCCATGTTTAAGGCCTATTATTGTTAATAATGGGCATGTTTAATGTACAATCAAACATGCGCTTTCATTAAACTAATCGTCCATGCTTATATAAATTATGGTCTTACGTGCGCCTCGAAAATAGAGATGAAAAAACTATACATTTCCATTAATTTGCTCACTTTGACGTTTTATACGCATTATTTCTGTCAGACTGTCTATATGGGGTTACTGTATCAGACAGTGACTGGTCATTTATTATTCCAAATGAACAGCATCTACGTAATACGAGACTAACGTTATTCGTTTGAAAGATTACCTTGTTTTGTTCGATAAAGGTGCCTGGAGCGTTTTATTTCTATGGTATTTTTTTAGCTGCAAGTTTAAAGAAATGTACAGTTACAGTAATAATCATTTTATTTGATTAATAATAAAAAAAAAACACAAACACAATTCGGATTCGGATGGCTAACTAATTTAATCCAATGCATCTTAAATCCCGAATAGATTCGTAATTAAATCTGTAATCAAATCTACTTGGTTGAACGTGGAATTTGCTTTTAAACTTTTTTATTTCTAAATAAATATTGAAAATCCGATATATTTATCTTTCGTTAGTATTAAATAATTTTATTATTCATGTCAATTATTAAATCATTGAATCTTTTCATTATCATCAAATACGTGCCAAAATATTATTGAGAAATCTTATTGCAGGATTTATTTATTGTATCATATATTGTATTAACTGTGTGCGATCCTTTTTACTTATTTTTATTTCTCGCGCTTCGTGCAGAAATATATAGCTTCTCTGAATCTCTCATCGTTCGGTAACATATTGGCGGCTATCAGTTGAGAAAAAATAGCTGCGTACGCTTTGCTGTTGAAATAACGCTGTATTTCATTTCTCGATGGTGAGAGCGGAGCCATGAGGGAGGATGAAAAGGGGGAAGAAAGAGAGCAGGGGAAAAAATAAAATCCGTTAAATTTACGTTACCGATAAAAAAGAAAATAAACGCGGCATCCCGCTCGCGTTTGCCCGAAGCAATCATCTTCGAGATTCAGGACCCACCCGCGCATTTCATGAGAAGACCGGAAAAGATTACATACTTATTTATGATTTCCCCGTGTGCGGTAAAGGAGGGAAAGACCGCGCTGTGTGTGCTCGCATACGTTTGATGTTGCCTCGAATCGTCAAAGTTAAAGAGAGTGACCGCTGATGGATTCATTTTCTACGTAGGAAGGTTATTTATGAACCCTACGATTCTCCCTACAGATCTGTACCTACCGGGAACGACGTGGGCGTTTGGGATTCATCACGAGCACAGATACGCGTCATGACTCGAGAGTATCCGTTCTCTAAGCAATGAAGTTGAGAGACGCCAGCGGCGTACATGATGACGGTCGTTATGTATATTACGTATCGGAATAAGAACCGCGTTACACGTTAATAATGATCGTAAAATAAGCGACAGATTGTACATTGATTGATAGAGAGAGAGAGAGATGTTACGCGGATTTAACAAGCTCGTGGTTTATCGATTGATACCGGGAAAATATTCAAAATTATCTTTGCGAGGCAATCGTGTATTTTCCAACGAGTAACGATATACATGCATACTGCGAACTTTAACGCGACTGCAGTTATTTACGCTACAGGCAGCTTCCACCCGGTCTATCAATTAGTCGTTAATAATTTTCCTGCCTGTGACATTTCATGTCAAAGCACATATGCGCGCGAATTATTCGGAACCGCTAATGTGTCATTTTTTCGAGAGCGAAAAATGCTCTGACATATTGATAATATCGTTGTTGTCACGACTGTATCTTCTCCAAGTGCTAGCAGAGGGAAAGATAGAGGAGGGGGGGGGGAATACAATAAACTGTACAACTAGGGTTGTGACGGTTTAGAGCATTGGGGATATCATCCACGCTAATACACTCGTGTTCGTGCTCGCCGTCGTTGGCCACGACGACAGAGAAGGAACGACCCGACCTCGGGTGTCTTCCATTTTCCACGGTGTCCCTCATCCCCCTCGAACTCGTGGAAAATGTATGATACGCCCACTCGCGGAGTTAAACTGCTATTTTTCTTGTGATAAATGAAATTGTTTTGCGCGCCGGCGCTTGTCACGCTCGCGAACATCTTACGAGTTTGTGCGGAGAGCTTCCTTGAGTTTCCTTCCGAGCCGCTTCGAAACTTCTCTCTCGGGATTAGATGAGATCGGGAGAAAATGCCCGTTCAGTAATGGAATCGTATTCCATAACAATGGCATCTTGATCGGATGAAATGCAATCGCGTATTTATACCTGTCACATTGTTAAACGCGTAATTTTCATATGTTAACCGCATTAATCGAGATACATAGATGGATCTCTTTATAGATTTTATTTTTGTATGAATTCCGTATAATGCTAGAATATAAAAAGTGATGAAAATATTTCGAGAAAAATTAGAAAAATTAGAAAAATACTGATTTAACAAAGTTAATAAAAATTATGACAGTAGGTTTTAAACTTGATTGTTAATTGGAAAAGCGAAAAGTAGTTTGATAAAGTATCAGTCTAACCGAAAGCGCAGAAGAAAAGTCGACCAAGCATATGCTTGCTTATCGCGTTTCTCATATCGAGCGACCTATCGTCCTCGTCCTATATCGAAAGTCCCGACTGGTATTCTAATTTCAGATTCAGAGCGTTGAGAGCTCCGCGACCCCTTGGCAAACACTTTGCACGTTCTCGCAATATCTTCGCGGATCTCGACGCGAAGATACCGACTGCGTACGCCTTCGAACACTTCACCAGCGATCCGTTTTCCCGGCTACTTTCGCCCCATTTTCTTTCGCTTTCCGTGGACGGTATCGGCGCTTGATAGCGCGATCACGAAAGTCCGTGGACTTTCAAGATTGGTCGGTCGTGTTGCGATCGGACGTCGAGCGACGAAACTTTAACATGGTGATCGATGAGATCCCTGGAAGCGATCGCTCCTGAGATACGCTCCCGTTCGAAGCGATGGAGACACGTCAGATGAGACGTCGGGAAACGCGTCGTCACGAAAAGATAGTGTGTCTCGGAAAGGGAGAGAGAAAGAGAGAATGAGAGAGAGGGAGAGGAGACAGCTCATTAAAACGCGATAACTCCATCTACATCTGAATCTAATCGGGCGGATAAAACCGCAGCGACATCAAACTACCATCGTCTACCTCATTACAGGAAAGGATCTTAAACTCAGATGGAAGCTCCCTTTTAATCGTCAGCTTGTACGTCACTGCTAAATTCTGATCTAACGAGACCTAATCCTGATGTCTTCTTCGGTCGGTGAAAACCATATTAGTGTTTTACCTGCCTAGTGATATATCGTGTCATAGGTATCTTGAAAGCATCAAGTGATTGATTACAGCATCCAATGATGAAAATTCATAAATTGGATCGTCCTTGTAAATTAAGCTAGAGTTTTCTCCTGAAAAAGTTTTGAGATTTATGATATTCCTGCCGATATATTAAAATTTTAATTGAATCGCTCATGAATTAATTATGGGATTTAATATTTTAATAATTCTGAATTAGTCAATCGATATAAAATATTGCGTTTATCTGAAATATCTGAAAAAAATAGCATTTCTTTTATTTACATATCTACTTCTTCCTTTGTTGCAGTACCGATTACTCCCATCAACGGTGTAGTCGGAAACATAGTGCAGCTTCCTTGTGACATTAGTTTCGCTGATAACGATGGACTCAACATGGTGCTTTGGTATAAGGAAGGCGGGAATGAACCGATTTACAGGTGAGATTCTGAATAATTTAAAACTAAAATTAATTGCTTTCTTCTAAATGTTAAATTTTTAAAATCTTTGAATCTTTATGTGTTTTTATCACAAAAATTTATAATATATATATATTTTTTTTTTTTTTTTTTTTTTTTCATATACGTTTTGAATACATATGTCCTAAATGTTCCCCCCACAATGTACCGTTGAAAAAAGATTTTCGCGGAATGCAAACAGCGTAATAAAAATTTCTTCTCGAATGCAAAAATCATCCAAAATCGCCTGTAAAGTTCACTTTCTCGGAAGAAATCGAAAAGAAATGAGTATGATGGTTCAGCTCCGGAAATTCCTCGCGTTATTTTCCGCAATGAAGTTCATTCGCTCTATTCGGGTCGCCGTTTCGCTTCCGCGGCCTGTGAAATTTTGCATATAGAATGGTCGCCCTGCTCGCCGCTGGGGGAAGCGAAACGAGGGGGTGAGGAAGGAGAGCGTGTCCCCACCTTAAGGGAAGAGAGGGACTTTAGTATCCGACGGGTCATATTTAAGAAATGTAATAAGGTGTAAGATATGTGCGGGGGGATGGCGATGCATCGTCCCGCGGTAAAGGACGAGGGTGTACGCGAAGGGGATACCGAGCTGGCACACGGTTCGAGGAACGCCGTCGTCCCGCTTGTTGTAAAGTCAGTTTAATCCTCCGCCACGACGAGGAACTTTAAATTTAAACGCGCCCGTTGTACTAAAGCGTCTCTACCCCTTCTTGTCTTGGCCGCCCTTCCTCCCTTGGCGCCGACTCTTCCCTCCGCGGGACCTTTCGGAGTAAAATATTTATTGCGTGACATCGTGCCCGCTTATCGTGTACGGTAGACCGTTAAGAAAAGGAAACTCTGCGAGACTACGTGGATATGATCGCGAACATAGTTTCCTCTTAGATGTATTCAACGTCTTCTCCCTTCTCGTGAATGTATTCAGCATCTCGCTTGCGATGTAGATAAATATAACGTTTACATTGAAATTTCCTCGAGCTGGTACTTATTTAAAGAAGTTTTCTTTCGCTTTTATTTAACTATATTAATTTGGCCGATTCAATAAAATTTCCACAATCCTTGAAGATGATTGAATTTTTTCGCGTCATCTGTAGCGGAGCTCGTTTAATTTTCCATTTAAGGCGAGAATAATAGAGAGAGTGAAACGATTGTCTGTGTTCTTCATAATATTTGATCGCGATCGTATTAAAGATCTTTGAGTTTCAATATTACTCTATAATATTGAGCACTCAGCGTTTCGATCGAACAAAATGCTCGGTAATATTTACAATCTCTCGGGCGGTCTTCGCATTTTACCTATAATAGATAACACTTCGCAAAATCGAATCCACTCAATTCCCATTCTACGTTCTCTCTCTCAGGAAAGTTTCAAGACACTTAGACCCACCGAAGCGACCTGGTAAATTCTTTTCCTCGCGTGAGACTTTATAAAGTGATCGGTTCTTTAGTGAGTACCCAACGTAGTAGAAAATAATAGCTAAATAAAAGACATTCTTACCTGCAGAGATCTAAAGTGTTGTTTCCAAATGTCTGCACAAGTTATCGAAAATTTGTATTGGCTTTATCTTTACAAAAATAATTTGCGATCACAACGCGAGATCGATTCTCTGTTTCGTCGAATTTTTGCTCGAGACGACTCTAGTCTATTACACTCGGCTTTTTAAAATATTGGGTGCCACTTTATCCGCAAATCGTTTTCGCGAATTGTAAAGAGCAACAGAGTTAATCTACACTGCAATCTTCCAAGATAACGAAGAAACGCCTGTAGGCGATGCCTTTCCTCGACGAATCAGCCTCTCAACTCGTGATCGACGAGTCGTGGGAGTAGGCAAGCGACCGATCGATCTTGAGAGTCGCTCCGTCATCGACGAACGCGAGGAGCTAAAGTCGGAAGACCGATATGGGAAAATCGCTTTTCAGGATTATCGCTCGGGAGAAAAGTCGGTCAAACGTGTTATATCCGCGGGTCGTTCTCGCGCCGGGCGAACCAGTTGTACTCGACCGATCTCTTCGAAGGATTGCTCCACGACCAAACGAGATCGACGGACGCGCAACGTCGGTGGCGCGTTACAAGAGCGTCCGGTCTCGTCTGTTGAAAGTGCGAAGCGGAAGAATTAAATCGTATTTCAACGTCAATACCGCGGAAGCGAGCGCGCGGGTGGGATAGCTTTGGGAATACTCAGTCACGAGCGAAAATCCGAACTCTCGTGCAGTCGCGGAACGCAATTTAACTTTTAGTCGCTCGCGGGGAGCCGTTAGAAAGCTCAGTCATGTTCTCTGTTCCCTCCGTTATCTCTCTCTTTCTCCCTCGTCCCCGCCCCCTCTCTCTTTCTCTCTTTCGTCTCGCGTTCGTTCTCTCTTGCCTCTCTTCTTTCTCTCGCGAACCCTCTTATATATCTTCCCACTGTCCCTCTAATCTGTCTGCTTTTGTTCCCGTCCTTGCTCTCATCCGCGGATGCTTAATATGCAATCATGCATTGGGAATGGCTCCCATGTGATTTCCATGTATAGAGTGGCCATCCGACTCGATCGTAGTTCTGCGATCGATTCTTTTAGCAAAGCTGATAGAATAAGAATACATGTATTTGAATCCTGCGAGCAAAAAATAATAAGGATTTTGAATTTAATCTTTTAGATTACCATCCGAATTTGTTAAATTCGCGTCCATTTGCAAAAGCAATGTTGTGTATGTAAATTAGATAAAATAAAAGGAGGGGATCTAGAAATCTTATGAAATTTCACATGTAAATTTAATTACGTTGGTGGCAACTGTATTTTTATTTTATCATTTAGAGATATTTAATTTTATAACCGACGAGAAATCTTGAAGCTATGTTACACGTTCGGCCATTCGCTTTGCAGGAATATATTCATTATTTATGATAACTATAATTAATTCAATCACGACCAGCTTTCAATAACAACGTTAGTATAGGAGTTCAATTGACTGCAATTACATTGTAAATTACATAATTAAATTGGCACAGTTTTTGATACGAATAACGAGCAAAGCGGTAATTATCTACGATAAATTGACTCTTATTACGAGGGACGAGTATTCTACCGGAAACATTCTAGTATCCCATATTAACGAAAAACATTGAAATTTCATATTATATACAAACGTATAATTAATAATGCAGCATATATATTAATAATACGCACATAATAATATTCATACGTCATAATAATTCGCAGAGGGAATGCGTTATAAATACGAGTACAGGAGTGCTAATCGATTTGTTGTAGCTTTGATGTACGCGGTCGCCGGACATACAACGAAGCCCGTCTTTGGTCGTCGCCCTCGGCATTGGGACCAAGAGCTTTTTTTATCACGGCGACGAATCCAGCTCACCTCAGCATCGACCGGATACAGAGCGCGGATGAAGGGGTCTATTGGTGCCGGGTGGACTTCAGAAACTCGCCGACGCGGAAACAAAGGATGAACTTAACCGTTATAGGTGAGGCGCATTGTATCGCGGTGAAACTCAATCAAGCCGGCGATCACGCAACAATTAAAGTCGGTGCTTTTGATCGGGCGCGGTTTAATGGAGATCGCGTCAAAGTATCGGAGCAAGAAGCACCTCCGAGAGAGCGAGCGCGCATACGACGCGTAATTAAACGACGCTAAATATATATATATATATATATAAACGTACAATTCGTCAGACGATGCGTAAAATTGGCGCGTTTGGTCCGCGTATACATTTGCTCTCGATACATTTCGTGGGCGTTGACTTATGAACTCGGCGCTTCCCGGCGCATAAATTAATCCCGGTATAAGCCGCGCGGTTTGCTCCGCAAACTGAGTGCTCCGCCGCGGTAATATACTATACTTCGTAACTATGACCTGTTTTGGGGCCCATTATAACAGTTAATTCTGCTACAAGCCGAGCCAAAGTTCTCTCCCGGATTTCACCGCATCGACCGCATACGCATCTCTCCGCGCTGACTGTCGCTTCGCTTGACAAACGATCGATTAACATCCGCGTTGGATGCTTCTAACGACGCATGCTGTTCGCACAGTGCCTCCGTCGAAGCCGATAATATTGGACGAGATGAAGAACGTCCGGAACATCGAGGAGCCGTACAACGAGGGAAGCGACGTGAACCTGATTTGCGAGGTTCATGGCGGCAAACCGCCTCCGAAGCTGACGTGGTATCTCGACAACACCGTGATAGACGAGTCCGATCACTACAACGCCGAGACCGGGAGAACGGTTAACCACTTGGCGTACCCGAAAATTGGGCGACAGCATCTCAAAGCGAGGCTGATCTGTCAGGCCAGCAACACAAACTTGGTGCCACCGCAAACCAGGCTGCTCATCCTCGATGTGAATCGTAAGTTGACAATCTTGCGTATCCTATCTTTTCGCAATTTTTTTTTCTACTATCCAGTAAAAATGCGTTTTAAGAAAGATCATTTTTAGCTTTTACCTTTCGTCTCTCTCGAGTTCGTACGCGACTCAATTTTGCGCGGCATTAAATATCGCGTATACGCATGTTGTCGCAATAACATAATTTGCAATGTTATGACAATGAGACATTTGCTTTTCACGCTGGCATGTATTAAACCAAATGATTCAATGCGCCAAAATGTAAAAACGCTTCCCACAGACTCCGTCCGGTGCACGTAATATTTTTGCTAAGCATCACGCGAGGCGATAATTGCGTTTACATAAATACTGTATACCGAAATAGTGTTTTTAACAATGAACGGGAGAACAGAGAGAGGAAGGTTTCAACCGTGTAATAAGCGAGGACTTTGGCGCTGAGTCAGCATGTCGATCAAGTCGCTCGCGCAAGGTACCTTTTGGGGACGCTTAAAACGAACCACCGATTACCTTGATGTACATCCATGGTGAATGACGATCAAGAAATGCTCTACTTATACGACTCACTTTGTCAATCTCTGTTGTTGCATGCAGGTTTTTAGCGTGTTTTTTTACAGGAACAGCAATTTATCAAACAGATGCCATATCTTCTAGTTCTATTTATTCTAAAAAATATATATTTCAAGGTGTCGAAAAACTGTGAATGTAAAACTTGTTAGCATTGTTCTCTCAAGTACTTTGTATGACTAATATACAGTGATATTCCGAAATGCGATAGCAACAAAGTACGAAGTAGAATATAACTTATACTTTACATAAATCATTGTAATTATCCTTGTTTTTATATAACGTTTTTGCTTTCGATAGTTATCTCGCGGCAAATTATTGTTTACCTTTTCCCATATTTTGTTATATATATATATATAGCACACAGTCGTTAAATGTAAACGTGCCCGGTGGACGTAAAGTGCTGGATATACGTAGTTCCGTGTAACCATTAATGTAAGTACGCAATTATCGCGTGCATAACGAGGTACGAGAGTTCTCCATTTGCGCGTTGTGGCAAACGTGAAACTATACCGATAAGTTGATGCGTTTTGCGAAAGAAAAACATTTAACTCTCGTAGCTCCACGTATTTTCCTATCTAAGAATGATATCTCCCCGAATGAATGTTTATTTCTATTTATGGGAACGGCACAATCGTCACAATAACTTTCACAAAGTCGCTGATCCTTAACGCGCTACAACACACGTTCCCATAACTGGAAGCATGTAGATTTATTCCTCGACAAAAAAATCTCGTTTATTACTACTAGAAGTCTCTCGCTCGTTAACTTATCACCTTCAAGAATAATGAGGCGACGTATCTGTCGACAAAATCTGACGTTAAGGAAACGAATTCGGGAAGGATTTTGCGACATACAGTGGAAAAAAGGTGTATCGCATCATTTGTAGAAACATAGGAAAGTCATTATTTTAATGAACAAAATATATTTTGTAATATTATATTTTATTATTGTTATTTAATAATTTAATCCTTTGCACTCGGAGCTATTTTTGCTAGACTCACAATGTCCCCTCGGAAGACATCCTAGCGCAAGAGTTAAACATGACCAAAGTAGGAGAAAAATAAAAGAAATTATTTGCTTGCATTTTTTGGAGATGATACAATATTTTTGATCAGTATTCATTCCGTGTATAAATCAACGTTTCTTTTCGCTCCGTGATCAGTGTTTTGGACAGTTCTCAGCTACCTGCATCCTAGATAAATGGTTTCAACGGTCGCAAGAGGACATGCACCGAAGGCCTTTTCACTAGTGACCATAGCCGGACCAAGGTATTCACGTGCTGAACCTATTAGTCGTCCGGGCGAGATTAACCGATAGAGATAACGGTAACGCCTCTCGTAAGACGGATCAGTGAATCGCGTGCCTTTCGGCCCGCGCAGCTTCGATTTCGTGTTTCCTCGTCAGCACTTGGCGTGCGACAGCTCGTCCGTGTTCGAGTTGTTGTTGCCTGGGACCGGGGTCGATAGATGTGACGAGAACACCCGCGCTCTTTGTGCACGCGTATGCGTTAATTGCCCCGAAGGGAGGGTAAGAAGGTACACTCGGCGTGGCAAGATATCGCGCAAATGGCAAGGGTTCGACTTGTAATGACCCAGTAACGTCGTTTCAGATTGCAATGGAAACTGGAAGGGTGGGAAGAAACTGTTCGAACCTGCGGGGCGATAACGTTAATGTAAACACGCGTGAAAGCATTAGTGCTCGAGCTGTGTAGCTACAAGAGGCGCTAATTCGTGGCCGATTGATCTCGCCGATCGCGCGTTACAGACATGCGTGCGTGTACACCACGTTGGCAGACGATCTGCGACGATATAAATGTTGCAACGCACGCCAACTCTGTTTAACAGCGCGATTAATAGTAATGAATCGAATACGATGTCAAAGGGATGCGGAAGGGTTGATTGCACGTACGTTCATTTGATTAGAAATTAATTTCTAGCTACTTTACGTTGAATTTTCTCCTACGCTCTTGTATATGTTAATACATGTACATTGTTGTTCCCTCTACTTCCTCAGATCACGGAGAATAACTTTGATTGCTTCTATTCAAAGGAATCGAATATATTAGAGGCTCCCATAACTATACGCGATAGTTGGCGAACAACTGTGTGATCCTATGTCAGCGATATATAACCGGATAGTTCAGTAGACGCGCGGGTATATTCTCGTATGCGAATAATTTCGTACACTCCCGCGGGTGATGCCTATTAATTCATACATTGCGATGCGCGTCGAATTCGTTCGATAGACCAAATAATAATAAGCATGCATGCCCACGTTCCCGCGTGCTCGAATGCGTATCAATTCATTCTTAATTGCTGCCGCATAAATCACGTTGAAATTTTAGTGGAAAATTAAATACCCTCGATCAATGAATTATATCTTTCACCGTGATTTGACCCTTCGCTTCTAATCTCAATTGGACAACTCGCCCTCTAATTCTGAATGATTGGAAAAAAAATGTGTCTTACGAAGGTTTAGAATAATTTTTTAAAATTACAGAGGAACAGTTTTTGAGGTAAAAAGTTTAGTACACATATATAGTAATAGAATTAAAGACTGGGTAATTGTAATTCCTTGACATTTTACAATATCGCGCTGTAGCAAGATTTGATCGGCGAAAATATGAAAAGTAAGTAAGCGGGCACGAAATGCGTGACACGGCTAAGCGTGACGGGGAGCTTTTCAAGTGACCTGGTATGTCTGCATCGTAGCATGCAAATTGCGCGCTTTGTTCATAAATTTTTTGCCAGAGCGAAACACAAATGGCGAAGCCGTATTCGCATGGACGCCTGGATTCATGACGCCGGGTTAAGAATTAAAGTCGGCATCAATGCGGTAACCAGCGGCTCGCTAGACTTGCCAATTGCAATTGCATCAATTTGCATCCGGTCGTGCGCGCACCCACGCACGCACGCACGCACGCAGCATCACGCATGCATCCACACACACACGAGCACGCACCTTCACGAGCGACGTTTATTCGAGCGCGGTCATGCGCTTCGGGACTGTTCACTTGATAATAATTAATAATCTCGCGTCTGCCTCTCCCTCCCTCATCCTTCTCTTTATCCCAATGCACAGAACATCATCGTCATTCAGAGGGAGAAGTTATCTCGACTTGGTTTCCCCGATAAAACCGAGAGATTTCTCTTCGCCGAGAGCCATGTGCTTTTCATCGACGGTTTTTACGAGGCATTGATTTCGGTCGAGAATCGCGGCGCGCTTTTCGGAGCAGGTGGCCGTCTAGAAATAAACGGGAAGGTGCGAAGAGCGCCGGGTTTGATAAGTGCGCCGGTTGAAGGGAGAGGGAGGAAAAGGGCTCCGACTCGTTCGAGGGAGTTATTCGAACAAACGATAACGCTACAGTAAACACGCATGAAGCCATTAAGGCTCGACCTGCGAGAGAGCGTTAATTCACGGGATGATTGTTCTGCGGCGTGCCGATAATACACGAGTAAAACTTGATGGACGCATTATGATTAACGATAAAATGAATTGGAGCCTACGCATAGAAGTACGGAGAAAGAACGAGTCTCTTCGCGAGTACTCTTTATTATGTTGACGTTATGAGGTTGATCGACCTGCTGAGTTCCAGTCTCAATGCTAATTTTTTTTTTATTATAGAGTGAACTTATATGTCGGATGTTTCATTTAAGACCTCTCTCATGGCCATCATATTCACTTTTGTTATTGTATCTGTCTCATTTCGAATTTTCATAGCGTAGTTAATTCGAGAATTAAGCTAAGAGAATTAAATTATTTCATGAAAACACTAGGAGCAAACACGATATTTAACACAGTCGATAGAGTGGAACAATTTGTCAAAACTGTGGACGATTGCGAATTATGAATGATGATAAAGCTGCAATGTCAAAGACTTGAGTCTAATGATATCGTATCGAGAACCAATAATTCCAGACAATCCAATAACGTTTGAAATTTCATTGAAATTTCGTGCTTTTGCACTCTAATTGAACATCGAAAATAAATATAATCCTTTTTGTTTCTCGGGAATCCTTCATCGATACAACATGCACTATCGGATCTTCATGATGTATATCAGATTCATTCTTGCGCGAAACTAAATTACCCTCGAACGTAATCACGTTATCGATATGTGCTTAATGAAACGCTAATCTTTATCAAGATCTAATATACGAGCAACATCTATCTGCGAAGTAAATAATACCGACTCTTTGTTACATCTGCGTAATAAAGCTTTCGCGACGTTTTCGTTTACGATATTAAATCGAATTCAAATAAATCCTTGACCATCCGATTGGTAAACGCGAAAGTTAATTATTCGAATGAATGAAACTTTCTACAAGTGCAAATATATAGTCGGAGCAACGCAAGGGCCATCGAATCTGTTCGTAGACATTACGTATGTGCATGCGCATATAATGTGGGTGAGTGTGAATGTCAGGAAGAGAGCACTGGGCGAAACGGAGGAACCAATTTTAGAGAAGTGGCTACCAACTAATGGCAATTAGGGGTTGTATGAGTGGCTGACCGTGGCGGTGCATAAGCGTGCGTTGGAATTTACGAGGACGACCGTGCGACACCAACGTGATATTACAGATAATCATTTATGATCAATATGGATATCAAATAATGGATATCGAATAATCGCGACAAACATATTAATATATATGTAAGCTTGTGAGAACAGAATAACCTCGTACATAATTCCAGAATTGGATTTTTTCATATTTAATATACACATATGATACAATCATTCGTTATAATTATCATTGATTAAATAATTGTTAATTAATAATTGTTGATTAATTATCACTAAAGTCAAGGATGAATCTATGTGAAGAGCAATGATACTTGAGACTTGGCGACATTTATTGTTCGAGCACTTGTCAACATTCCTAATATGCCAATTTCCAAAATAATGTATCATGTATATATAACCTTGTACATAATTGCAGAATTGGATTTTTTCATATTTAATATACACATATGATACAATCATTCGTTATAATTATGATTAAATAATTGTGATTAATTATCACTAAAGTCAAGGATGAATCTATGTAAAGAGCAATGATACTTGGCGACATTTATTGTTCGAGCACTTGTCAACATTCCTAATATGCTAATTTCCAAAATAATGTATCACTTTTCTTTTTAGGTTAAATTCATGAGTTTCTTAGATCAATACAATCGTAGCATTTAAATATAAAAATATTGAATCAAATTTCTAAATCACCGTCGTATGAAATATAGGTCGGAGAGAGAATAAAATTGGTATTGGAAACAGATATTGGTCATCTACGGAAGAGAGAGAGATAGAAAGAAAGAGAAAATAAAATTGCATTTTAGTATTGAGACTTTAATTCTATCAGAAAACGTATTATTCCGTATCGTTTTAGTATCAAGATCGTTGGAACTATTTCGAATACAGCGGATCGCAGATGTTCCACCGAAAGTTGATTTTAAAATAATAACCAGTAAATACAAAAAGAGTTGGTGATTGAGGAATCAAATGCGGAAAAATAACTGTGAACGAGTTATATGTGATTGAGTTTTGCGTAATAAGAACAGAATATTCTACAAGCGTACAATATATCAATAATAAAAAATAAAAGAAGAATTATAAGAGCAACTTGTGCTGTTTCAAATGGTATTTTTCGAAAATCTCTTTTGATAATCATAAACGACACAAGATATGATATGATTCTCTCTCTTTTGTGACTTTGAGAATTAAATAACTAAAATTTACCATCGTATCGCGCGAAGAACAAGGTTTTAACTGTCGGCTGAGCAACGATCCTCTTTAATTCCTTTTATAATTCACGAAGCGAATATGGTAGTTCAGCTTATCGGGCAACGAAATTTCGGAATGATTTTGCGAATACGTTTCTCCGTAGCTTTCTATAGAATTAGCACTTCGGTATCGTTATTCCGACTGTTTAATCTTATTTCGGGATTTTTCCCAGTACAAAACTGAGCACGAATGCTTTTGTAGCAATAGAAATTGTTTTCGCGATTTCACCAGGGAACTTTGAAAGTAACGATTCGCGCATAAAGTTGATTAAATTAATGTCCGGCATCACGGAAACTTGACTATACACCGTACTTACTAATATAACTTTATGTTTGCAACGGGCAGCCTTTTTAAATAACACAATAGGGAGAGAACGGAAAACAATAAAAATGGAGATTATAAAAAACGCATTTCTCATGTTATAAAGACAATGCAAGAATATCTATTTATTTTTTGCGAAAGAAAAACACATCATTATAGATAATAAATGAATAACTTGTAGCACGTAAATAACTCTTTCATCGAGACATGCGCTTTTCTCCTTGTTTAATATTGCGATATTTCGTTGTTCTTAAATTAACGAGATTAAAAGAAAATATTGCATAGTTCTGCATAGTTTATAAATATATACAAACTCATATTATATTTTATTGTTACAGTAAAGCCGTTGGTAGTTCAAATCTTGACGAAGGAAGCGCGAGTTTCAGCCGACAAAAATTACGACGTCGAGTGTCGTACGAGCGGGTCACGGCCAGAAGCAGTGATCACATGGTGGAAAGCAAACAAGCCCATCAAGAAGATGGCTCAAGCCGTAAGTCTAACATATATATTGCTTGTGTAAATTATCTCCTACGCGGTAAAATTGCTATGAAAAACTGAGATAGTGATCGCTCTAAAAAAGAATACGCACTACATTACTACTTAAATGCAAAAGGGGAAAAAATACATTATTTTTTTAATAAAAAAGTTTTCTAGGATTCAGTTTGAGGATGTTAAATGTCAACACTTGGTTTGTAACTTTTTAGCGAGCAAAGCAAATTTATAAAGCTCTTATAAAATGACGCATATAAAATTAAAAGTGAATAAATTCGAGTATCATTCTTTTTTCGCTTTATTTTCTTTCTCTCAAGTAGTTCAAAATTATTTTCTTTAATATATTAATTTTTGCTGCAAACTTTAATCAGATCAACCTAGTGATGATATAAAATAGATTGCTACTATAAAAAATTGAAATATGAAAAAATTAAAATACGTATATTTTTATGAGCGAATTAGGGATGTTATCTGATTGAAAAATCGACAAAAATAGTCGTGTGTGAGAGATTATAGATTGAATATAAATTCACGATTCGTCTGTCGAGTATTCGAGTTCGAAAAGTTGCGCCGAGTGTTTTTATCGAGGTATATTGTCGATGTGAGTATTCGTATCGTTAAAAGTCCCGAAAACGGTTAGCATCGGAAACGTCGGTGAAATGCACTACACAATTCGGAGGAAAATTTTTAAAATCGACGTCTCGTAACTTGCCGCAGTTTACGACGATTCTCGTGCGGAAGTTAGGAGTGCAGTTATTTCGTTTTTCTTGCGGGCGACTTTTCGCGCGTCCTCCTTTTTCGTTCGTACATTCGTTCATCCTCAATCCCCGACACCTTCTTTCGCAGTGAGAGAGTATGAAAGTTCGCGATCCAGTGGATCTTTACTTGATAAACTTTTTCAAGGTTTAACTTTCTTTTCCCATTTTTGAGACACGTGGCACGTAGAGGTCCGTCCATCGTCTGTACCACGAAATGTTTCAGTAATGCTTGGGAACGTTAAATTTTTAAAATATCTCTCCAGATGTGTGTAACTGTTCCCTTCTTATCTCAAGAAGCGACTTAGTCGCTAACTACTTCGTCATCGTATATACTCCACGAGTTTTTCATCCCTTCATAAAAATGTATCAAATATTGATTGCATTGTGCCATTTTAAATTACGATTGTACCAATCATAAATTCATTGAAATACATTGTACCTCTTATTATCCCTTCTGAATTAATGTATCATACATATTGCGAGTCAGTTATCGGAGTTTAACAATTTAAATGTTAAATAAAATACTCATTGGTATATTATACTCAATTGAATGATACATTTGCAATGCATCTCACATTTTCATGATGTTACAATGTTTAAGATAATTGTGTGCAGATATTAAAACAACATGTAGGTCAACATCATAGTTGCGGTTGGTTTCACAATAATAAACAGATAGTTGATAATTTAACTATTTACATACTGATATACATAACTGTAGCGTAATATGAGACATGATATATTCGCGGGAAAAAATACAATTTCTCGTTACACACGATTCTTAACAACTTGACGATAAAATCATTCATATATGTCGCGTTTTATTTTATTTAAAATATGGATAGCATACACGTCCATTAAAATAGTTTAAAATTTTAACCATTTCCATTGTATGTAGGTACCATACATGCGCTGCATAAAACGCTAATTTCACGTATGTAAAAACGCATTAAATAGCTTCACTGATGAAAGTATTCAACATTTTCGCATATCAGAATTTTACGATGACAGAGCGACATTACTGTTTTATGCTTATTCCATATATTTTTACTACGCCATTATTTTAGTCGTGATCGAAAATGTTTGAAGTACTTGTGACGGTCATTACCGCATGCGACATTGAGATATTTTATAAAAAAATTGTATTACGATTTTTTTCCTCTTCGATAAAAATAAATTTATTTGGTGAGAAGTTTTTTCCGCATGTTCTCAATCCTAGATAAGTTTTAAAAAGAATATTCTCACGCACTATGCAAATATGATGAAAATAGAAAAATGCATTTTTTTTTATCTTTAGATAAAATGATTAATACGTTGTGATAATAAAAGATTGATATTCGTCTTTTGCGAATTCCCTGTTTCTTGCTGTATACGTTTGTGTTTCCTCAAATTCTTGCTTTTCGCAGAAGCATCGAAAAATAGGATGTTATTTGCATTTATTCGCGCAAAATTGTTTAAGTGAAATCTTTTTTTCGTCACGCGAGTGAGTTTTCACGCGAGAGTTCTCTTAGAAACCGGAACTAGAAAATATACCGTGCTGGTAACATTCGACCAACGTATGCGAACAGTGTGATCGTAACGTCACTCCACGTACGATCTACCTCTGTACGATATATGGATGTGTTGGACTGTCCAGAGGGTTTTATCGGGAAATTCGATCGCGTCGCACACCGAGATACACTGAAAGTGCAACGCAGCGAAGCTTACAAAAAAATGCAGGAGAGATAGAAAAAGCGAAAAAGAAAGAGAGAGAGAGAGAGAAAAGGAGGGGGAGGGGGGCAGCAACGCCACATTCATCCTGACGAACCATTACTTCCATTCATCGTATTCGCGATACTGATGCGGATACGTGGCTTTTCCGATATATATGCCCGATAGTGCTATCATTAAAATGACATCGTGAAAGCGGGGGGGGGGACACAGGCGGTGATGGAGAGAGGAAAGCGTCAGCGATGTGACCCGCGTGTCCTGGTCCCTTCATCCTCCATTTCCCGTCGTTGCTCTAAGCATCATAAATCTTGAAAAACCGTTAATCCCCGGCGCTCTTTTATTTCGGCATCACTTCGGTCTAACAGCTTCCAACGATGTTAAATTAATATTAGCAGCGAACGCGCGTGACGTCCTGTGAAAAATGAAACGGCTCTTTTAACGCCGGAAATGAGAAATATTCAAATTACGCTTACGAATCGCGCAAAGATAACAGAGTCTGTTAATGTGCTAATTAGTTTGTGCGATTAGGGTCGCGTGCGCAATTACGTTAATCGCGCAAGCTTTAAATTTCTAATGGGTATATAAAATATATGCGTGCTTAGAAATGATTACGTGCAGAAACAGTGATACCTCGGTGACCGATTTATTCGGATAAAATAATCATAGTCGATGCATATATTCGTGTATCAGCTAGATTCAGATCGAAATAATTGATTCCCAAATCAATATGCATCTTTAATTACAGTATTCGCTCGAGAACAATCAAAGTTTGAGTATCCTCAGCTTTGTGCCAACTATAGAAGACGACGGTAAATATTTGACATGCCGCGCGGAAAATCCTGCTATATCTGACAGCGCGTTGGAGGATAAGTGGCGGCTTGACGTACAATACCAGCCCGTGGTCAACTTAAAAATGGGCGAAACGCTAAATCCGGACGACATCAAAGAAGGCGACGACGTGTACTTCGAGTGCATAGTGCGGGCGAATCCGAAGGTGTACAAGCTTGCCTGGTTTAAGGACGTAAGTAACACACTCTCGCGCATCTATCATGATACTCGAAGAAATATCCCCCGGTATATTTGCCATTTTGTCGTACCCGTATTCTGCTCTTTCGTCGGTTTATGCAAATTTAATTACTTTTCCATTAGATAATTCGCGCGTAGCTCACCATTTCGCGCAGTTTTTCACTACGCAGTTTCCATTAATGCGCGAGCACTTTCAGATTACATTATAATTGCAATTAAGGTACCATCTTATACTCGTACTCTATCACAATGTCAAATTTGCGCTTGTTCACAGGGTAAAGAATTAAAGAATAATAGTACGGCGGGCGTGGTCCTCAGCGATCACTCTCTGGTCCTTCAAAAATTGACACGCTACTCCGCCGGCGATTACACCTGTCTTGCGGCGAACAGCGAGGGGAAGACCGCCAGCAATTCAGTGTCTCTTCAGATAATGTGTAAGTCGCATGCAGTTACATTTGTATAATTAATAAGCGAATTATCACGAAAATTGGCCCGAGTAAACAATATCGCTCTAATAGCATTAGAGCATACGTTTCTCATAACGCGGCATCGATTTCCCAATTTCCCTCTCGCAGCTACGATCCCTCGATAATTACTTAATCGATGGTAAGCAACTCCGCAGTGTGAACAGAGGCAAGCACAGGGAGGCGTTTGTCGAACGCACGAGAAACGAACTCGACGGTTAAACCCGGGGGGATGGGACGGGAAAAGGAGGGAGGATAAAGGGGCGCAAACGGGAGGAGCACGGGAGATAGGGTGTATAGTTTTCTGTGAAACACGGAACGCGGGTTATTCTATTAGAATGGTCGGTGCCCCTGGTGCCATGGGGTGCCTGGCGTATCTGCATCTTGTAAATGACCTAAGAGGGAAGGAAGGACTGCAATGCATATTCAGTGTATGTAAAGCGTAGCTGAATATTCATGTGTGGGTGAACGCAGACTGGCAATGTGCTAAGCTAGGCCAGAGTAGATGTACGGCGGGGCGCACGTAACTCAAGGAGATCGCGAAATCCGTCCCCGATATTTTAAATCCGTCACGTTGCCAGCCGATGACGTCAATCTCTCGCGTTCGCGCGGGACTTTGAACAATCCGCGATAGCGTCGCAATATATGTATGTCACGTACAGTATTACGAAATCGCCAACCGTGTCATGAGACGCGACAGATTTTCCTTCGCTTATTCGAGATGCATTCGAGATATTTTTATATCACTTTCGTGTAACTTGATCTCGATCGCACGTCAATTGCTCGATAAATTTGTGACTTAATTGTAGTGTCAAGATGCTTTTTTTATCAATAATATTTTAGTACAGATGCTCTCTTTCTGCACTTTGAGGAAAAAATTCTTATATAAAACTCTTATATAAAACTCTAATAAATTAAAAAAAAATTTATAATGTAATTTAAAAAGGATATAGTTTAAGAAAAATGAGATGCTTTCTGCATTTATTTTGTACGAGGATGTATATGAGTAAGATTTGTGGATTCCGTTTTAGGCAATTAACTACTTACAATGTAAATCGTGTAAATAGAATTTATAATACGCTTCCTGGCCAATATTTGATTCACAAATTTAGAAATTTGCTAGTATCAATTATTATACATATGGATTAGAATATATTTAAATATTGATTATTCTAAATCTCTAGTGAATCTCTAGTGATAGATATAGGTATACCTAAAACTCTATATTTAAAATTTTTGATGTCTTTATTAGCTTTATTTATTGATGCATCCTTTTCGGATTATTTCATTTCAGGTTATTTCAGTTTATTTCTAAAATACCAATAGGATTAATAGAACGGAGCATTGATTGCTGCTAGTATTAATTATTATACATATGGATTAGAATATATTTAAATATTGATTATTCTAAATCTCTAGTGAATCGTAAATTTACATGTTCTCTATTTTAACAATAGATAAATATAGGTATACCTAAAATTTAATATTTAAAATTTTTGATGTCTTTATTTGTTGATGTATCCTTTTTGAATTATTTCTTTTCAGGCTATTTCAGTTTATTTTTAAAATACCAATAGGATTAATAGAACGGAGCAATGATTGCTGCTTACTGAATAATTAACGAACACACACGATTCGACTTCCTAGTCTTTCCAACATTTATTATGAAACACCTAATTTGTTTTTGTTAGAATGGAAAAAAGAAGGAAAGGCAGCCGTTGAATGTTTTACAAGCGAGACAGACTTTGACTCGACGAATTTGTCTGCTTATCTTGGAGAAATTGCGAAATTATTCAAGTTGTACTTTTCTTAGAAACACCAGCGTAAAAATATAATATTATTCCTCACATTTCTCTAAATCGTTCAAGTTAATGACAGTAAATTTTCATAAAAATAGAAGATAAAGGAAATAGTAGGATGGCTGTGAAAGGAATATTTGAATCAAATAAACGACCACATTTCAGATGGTTTATAAAATATACCGCGAAATATATCAAGAAAGCATCTTGCAACCCTTCGCGACGCTATTTTCGCTTTAGAATGTCTCGTAAAAGACAAGAAAAAGAAATCAACTTGATTTCTCGTAGAAACGGTGAACTTGGAAAACGATTATATTCCAAAGTATACGTATATATAAGATATCTTCCGTCAGAGTAAACAGACGTATCCATCCGAGTGATATAGCGTAACTCCGCTGCAGCATCTCCCCAACTTCTCATCTTCGCAATTAATTTAGTACCGCATAGACTGTATCAAATTGCAACCAGACAGTCTCTCTATCCGTGATTCCCAGCCTTCGGTCGTAAATCATCACTCCAGCCGTGTGGGACTTCCGCATGTCATAGCCTATCGCAAATACCGATGTCAAGGGAATTTCCTATTAGACTATCGATCGACCGTTGCAGCGAGCTGAACGTTACCGAGCTGCTTCTTCTTCCGTTTGACACCCGCGGATCTCGTTGGGATATCGAGGGCGCGCGCGAGCATCAATACCACCGGTATACAATGTACACCGGAACGTCGAATATCCATTTAAATCGCCGCTAGTATTATTTCACGACAAGAACAGAATGTTGATTGATTTACGGTTGTACGTACGGCTGGGCGCAACGCTGGGAAACATAAATTAATCAGAATCGCTTTTTATGCTTATCATCGGACAATGAAATTTCTCGAGGCAGAAGAACGTAGAGACCTGCATACACTTTGTTATACATTAATCTTGACAAGCGAGCCATAAATCATTCCTATATACTTCAAACTTTGCGTTACTCTATCGTTATTCGTGGGGAGGCCACCGTTGGTAAAGCACGACGACTTTGTTTGCAGATGCTCCAGTCTGCAAGGAGGGCAAGAGCGAAGTGGTGGTAGGCGCTTTGAAGCAGGAAACTGTGTCGTTAGTGTGCTCCGTCGAGAGCCATCCGGCACCGGTGACTTTTCATTGGACATTCAATAATTCCGGCGAGCTCGTCGAGGTATCGCACTCACGTTATTCTCACGTATCGGCCCCTGGCACGCCATCCGTCGCGGACAACCTGAGAGAGTACCAACAGTTTCACGGGTCCAGACTCAACTATACACCAGTCACGGAAATGGATTACGGTACCGTGGCATGCTGGGCGAGCAACCAGGTTGGCAAGCAACGAACACCTTGCCTCTTTCAGGCAAGTACTTTTCCGCCTGTGCCTTTTCGCTTCTCTACGTACGCGACTTCCGACGTGTGATTCAGAATTTGCTGAGAAAGCTCTTAGCTTTTTAATACGCACGTACGAATGCATGCGAATGGTCGTGATAAATGCTTTTATTGAAATATATATATAAGATAATTTTTCTCTATTTTTATATCATGATTATGTAGATTTTTTTGATCAATTTCAAGTCGATCTAATAAAACTCTCCATGCATTAATCATTTCTGCAAAAATCAACGGTTAAAAAGGAGAATTTTTTTGCAAAATAAAATGCACTTCGCGAGGCAGATAGGATCAAGTCGTATTCTTGATTTAAGTTCAAATGAATTTCAATAGACGTTTAAAATTTATGATACTTAATTGCGAAGGGAAAGAAATATATTGTTGAAATTTTTACGAAATGATGTGCAGTTAAATGATAAGCAGTTTCATTATATATATATGTAAGAAAAAATCATTGTCAATTTGTCATTAAAATTATCAAATCTTATTCTGACAATTTGTTATTAAAATTTGATGTGAGACATTTTTGTACATTCTATAAATCTTTTAACAAAAAATTCAATTCTGTTTTTGAGTTATTTTCTTCTTTATTTTATTTTCTTTTCCCTTTATTTCTGTAAAATTTATAGAACATGTCACATCATCTAATTGAAAGCAGAATACGTCATATCGTTGTACAGAATAGATTTCTAAATTTATTGAAAGAGATTGCTTTGGTTTATTTTCATCTGTTATAGAAGATTTTCAATCATACATATATAGATTCGACATTTTCAACATTTTGTGAATTTATATAAATATATATATTTATATATATTATAGTTTTAGAGCCATAAAAAGTTCATATTTTATGAAGTTTTTTTACGCGACGAAAGTAATACATTTTTTTAACAATACATATTTATAACATCTTATGAATAAGTAATATTTCATTTTTCATTAAATATATTTCCGAGCGTTCTATAAAAATGTCTTGCATGTGAGGATTTTTATCTCCGGACATTATTTTATTCTACGCAAAAAAAATTGTATATTCTTGTTAGATTACTTAACATGCTATAAGAGAAAAATTCTATTCGTGATCGCGAGAGATGATTTTACCCGTTTCATCGTAACATCGAAATTTATTTCAATCTGATATCAAGAGGTTTCCTTGATTGATGGGATTGAAACACGGAGCTCTCTCGATCATTGCTCCGGTTACGATTCTTAGCCATGCCAATCTGATAGTTAACCATCCTCATATTGCACTCTTCAAATATTCCGGTATTTATACGACGTCATGTTGCCAGCTATTTCCTTCATACATTTTACACATTGTGTATCCTGGCATCACCATGCTCCATACATTTTCATTTCGATCGATCGACAATATCTACAAAGAATGCAGGGGGTTGCCTTCTTTGATGATACAAACTGTGTTCGTATTTGTCGTGCATATGAGAATCTTTGAACGTATGTAAAGTCGTTTGCCGCTACTGTAGAAAAAATCGATTGTTCTTCTATAAGACTATAATAGAAGAATGCATGATGTATAATATAACTGTTCAACTATTTTCTTAAATTTTATATGCAATTACGCGCGATACATATATATACGATGTAATATAATATAAATATAATAATTAAAAATTATACTAAAAAATTTCTATTCGAAATTTGAGCTTTTTCTTATGCAGTAAACTTTGTTTTGCTTGTAACAAAGAATATATTATTCGACTAATGCAAATATATTTTATCTCGGGCTTGTGTGCTTGTTTCAGGTCATAGCTGCGGGTCGTCCGTATCCTCTTCACAATTGCAGCGCCACGGAAATGTCGGCGCCCCTGGATATGGAAGAGCTCGGTGCGAAATCAGGAACAGGACTGGTAGTCCGATGCCTGGAGGGCTACGACGGCGGTCTTCCGATATACAGTTATCAGCTCGAAGTCGTGGCTGATGAGGACGAAGGTCCGATTCTGCTAAATAAAACCGTTCCGGCAGATCCCAACGGGCCGACTTTCGAAGTTGCAGGATTAACGACAGGAAGAAGCTATCGACTTTTTCTCTACGCGATTAATGCGAAGGGAAGGAGCGAGCCTTTCATTCTCGAGCCGGTAACCCTGAAGGGTGTTGCTATGTACACGACTGGTGAGTACATTTGCCTGCCTAAAAATATTTTATTAATGAAATTTGAAAATATTTTCACGAATTTTAAAACTTTATTGTCTTATTCTTTTTCTTTCTATAATATGTATGACAAGAAACTTGGGATATTATTATATATTATCGATTAAACAAATTAATTTCATGAATTTCAATCAATATTGATTGCAAGAGACGAGAAATTTAAGTTTCAAATATTGAAAACTGTTTAAAACTTTGATAACTCTACGAATATAATTATTTATTGCATTATGTTGGTTCAGAATTCGAAAAAAAATTACGCAAGGTTTTTTTATTAATAATAATGATTATTCTCTTATTACGTAAGTAGAAAAAAGAGTGATTTTAAGATGGAACGTTTTACTCGAGCAAATTACAAGCACAACTTGAACAATTTGTAAAGTTGGCTGAAGAAATCAATAGCAATATAAATTTTGCTTAATAATTTTTATATTACATTTTTCATGATATATATATGCTCTTGGCTATATTTAAATTTTTTTATATTAAAAAGATATTCGCGCTTAAAAAGATATTGTCCCTCGTTCGAGAAAAAACTTATGGCTTGTTAATTGTCTTCTTCTACATTTTGCACAAAACGCGGGCTTACACATTTTTTACAGGAATAAAAAGATCTCTCGTTAATAGCGGGGAATGAAAGAGTTGCATTCGTCAGCCGAACCGGTTTCCTTTCTCAACTTCCTACATTTACGCGTCGATCGTTGGTTGCTGCAACAATAACAGTCACGCTACGTTTTTTTTTCGTCGGGTACCGAGCGGACTGAAAAACCGAACGGACGTGCTCTCTGAAAAATGACGCGGACCGGCCGGAAAAAAGCGCTGAATTTCGCTTTTGACGGTCCATTAGCGAGCGTTCGGACGTAGCGCGCGCGTATAACGCCTATTATACCCCTGATAGACGTCGCAAGGACGGCGGATATGATCGTAATTTCACAAATACTGCGAGCGGACGCGCCAGTATTGCAATTAGTCGGTTAACCGCCCCCGTAGTCTCCTCATCGTAGTCTCCGCGACAGGCTCACACTGCGGTCAGCGGATGTTGTGAGCCGGTATCGAGATAGGTGAAAGCGGGGAGGTGAATTCTATCGGCGAATGGAGGTGGGAGTGACTGCTGCCAGTAGCTAGAGCTTGTAATGCTGAACGCAGCACAACGCAACCGCAGGTATCGGACTCTGCGGACCTTGCAATTAACAAAACAGATTACTCTCAATCAACGAACACCTATACCCTGCTTCGGTGAACGCGACGTGACAGTTTCACTGGCTTTCTGCAACTCTCCATGCGATTCCATGGGGAAATAGCAAACAGCGTGCGTTCTGCATTGATACGCATTGAATTGAATTACAATTAAACTTCTTACTTTGTGATGTGTCTATGAATTGGAGAGACTCAAAGATAATAAATGAACAAAGCAAATTTATTTAATCAAAAAGAGAGAGAGAAAGAAATTTGCAAAAAATTGATTTTTATAAAATCAAAAATCATTTAAACGATTCACATGTGAGAAGATTTCAGTGCGTAAGAAAATAAAAAATTAATGTTGCTTGTTTCATTGGAAATACAAATTTTTGCTAATAAATTGCTAATAAACTCGTAATTAAACTCGAAAAATTATCCCCTATGTAATCTTGTACGATGGATCAAATTTATTTTATCGATTAATTGAAACTGTTAGATTGAAAAAACACATATCAAAGAGCAGATAAATATACTTATTAGGGGAAATGGCTATTCGTTGTCAATAAAGTCTTTCTGCTTTCATGTAGCTGCAAAGGGGAAACGTTCCTTGACGCCTCGGTATATTTTCCTGTAATATTGGTAACGTTAAACCACGTTGCAAACTTGAAAGGCATCAACTCAAAGAACTCATCGTCTGAGCGCCTGTTCGTGCTGTCGCTTGTCGACACGAAAAAGCCAAAACGCAAGAACGTAATCGCCGTCTTGATCGATGTGCTACAGACTGCATTACATACCAAAAATTGCTGGAAGGTTGGCGTGCTCGAATTTAGCTGCAACGATCGGAAACTAACTTCCGCTCCTTTAATATGCGAAAGCAAAAGGTTGTTTCTCGCGCTCATGTTTCGGGGAATATTTCGAGAACGAATTTTACTTACAGTAAATCCAACAAATTCTACACTAGCGCGAACGAAGCCAATGCGTGTGAAACGATGGTGGACCATAACGTTTGCGCAGGCATCACGATTGACAACGCTTTGATCATTCCTTTTCCCATTCATAGCGGATGTTTGATTATAATAGACTCTATCCGTCCCGACAACGTAATAGAAAGTCATTGGTAACACACGATCGCGGGTCAACACGAGGTTAATTCAGTTTACCACCGATTTCCAACGCCGCCAACCACATACCAGTCCGCCACCCTCGCATCTCTCTCCGCGCCATCCCCTCATCATCACCGTCGTCGTCGTCGTCCTTCACCGCCGAGCCCGACCCTCCTTATTCTCGGCCTCCTTCCTTCCTTCCTTCCTTCCTTCTTCGCTAATTCCGACACGCCTGACTTTGCACACTACCTCTCTGTGTGCGAGGGTGGCGAGGTGCAAATATTGATTTGACGACCGTAACCGCGCGGCGCTGATTTGCCCGAATGGCGACCCCGTCTACAAACCATCGAAGCCAATTTGCGGGCTCTCTTTGTATTGTTCCCGTCTAGTATTGTCCTATAAAGCGCCGCAGGGGTCCGTTTGCGACAGAAGGCACTGCCAGTCTTTGTACTCCGTTTTTTAACGTCTGCGTTTGCTTATTTTGATCCCTCCCAGACCAATACTCTGCTTTATTGTTTGGTAGCGTTTTCTCATGTAACTATGAATATAAATTAATATAAATAAATAATTCTTCAATAAACGTCGCTCTTCTGAAAATTTTTTTTACAAAAATATTAGAAGAGAATTGTTTTACTAACGTTGTATGAATCATACAAAAATTTGATATTAGAACAGAGAAATTATGTCATTTGTATTTTGCGGAGAATGGGAGTGGATCTCCCCACTTTGCATTTCTCACTTATTACATTCCGCAACAAATGCTACCCTCCTCCTTCGTTCCAACAAATCGTTGGGGCTCGCGGGGAGAGATTTTCCATGAAATGTTTTTGCGTATCTAACCGGTATCTCTTGTAAGAAAAACAAAAACCTAACCGGTTACGAGCGAACGCTAGTCGGCAACGATACCGACACCCCAAGAAGAAGATATGATTCAAGTCGAGAAGTTTCTCTCGCCACTGCGGGGGAGTGAGAAAAACGGTAACTCGACACGGCACGCCACGATGGCGCAAGAAAACGAACAAGAGGGGTAAAAGCGGGTAAGGCAAGCCGGCACTGCTAAGACAAGTAGGAAGAAAATTGTAGCAGATTCTTTTGCGCCCTCTATTTCGTAATCTTTCATTGAACGTGCACAGGCTGATCCATTAGGAAAATTAAACGAATGGCGAATATTCCTGCTCGCCCACGCGAGGACGTGTCCTCGACTTGAACACGACAGACGCGATCTGCGGCGGCTCTGTGAAAAATAAAAAAAATCGAAAGACCTCTTTCTCTCGTCGCTACCTTTCTCGAACGCTAATGTCGTAGAAGAGACAGCGATGGGAAGAGAAAGGCGGATGAGAAACAGGAGACAGAAACGAGATATGGAGAATGAAAAGAGAACATAACGGGAGAGGATACTTGGTTGCTAGGGGCGATACGAGAATATTCTTGTTGGAAACTCCATTCGCATATATAAGTCGCCTAACTATCTAAAAAGGATTATCAGAATTAATCCTAAAAGTTTCGTATCGAACGAAGGGATGCGATAAATACCGCAATAAGAATTTATGCGGGGTATTAGATATTACAAGTTGCGCGTTCGCCCTCGTTTGTATTCAACACCAAGACTTTTAAACGTAGACATCGTCTTAGAGGAAAGTGAACGTAATTATCCGTAAAAAAAAAAGATAATACTCGTAACAGGCTCGGTTTACATTGACCTAAAGGAAGGGAAACGAGCGTATTTCGAAAACTAGATTCTTTTCACGAATCGATCGAGGGGGAGATTCCGGCTTAAGGTTTTCAAGGTCTTCCGAAAGTTCCTTCAGCATTCTCGTCATAGAATCGCTTGTTTGGCCCCGAGGTTACCACGTGGACGGTCTTAGAATGCAATTCTTTGGAAATTGCTCTCAGACTTCCATGGGATTGCTTCGATTTGGAACGAATTACTTCATCCGTCTCGAAAAGCGGCTCACTCGCCATTCTTTTTCAGATCGCGGAGAACTTGCTCCGCGAAATTCCCGCTTTCAAACTCCGTTCCCGCAAAGGCAGCCTGATTTTCTCGCTTGTCTCGCTCCGTTACCGCAGTTTTATTCTCGAGTACGCGAATGATGAGGAGGAAAGAGGAAACCAATCGATAGGAAGAGGTTCCAAGTGGTTCGATTTATCGCGTTATGATTGACATTGTTTTCACACGCGCAACAGGCCGTACATCTTCGGAGGACACGACGCGATCCAACAGCAAGATAAACGGGAACGTCAATATTAACTCTTTTTCCCACCCGCTGCAGTGGACTGAGATACGTCGATGCTTATATAGCGGATTGCTGACGGGCGATATTTCAAAGCTACGAGGATGTTGTTTCCGCGAGCGTGTTTGAAAAATTTGATAGTACGCGTAATGTATTTTACAATGCAACTGTATACTTTTCCTTCGTTTCTGAACGTGCTCAATCTCGGTAAAACTCCCGAAAAATAATATCTTTTTTTTTAGCCACAAAAAAGAATTTTATTAATTATCTTTTTCTAAAGAAACAATTTTCGATGAAAGCATTTTTTCATGATAATCAAATTATTTTCATTAAGCTCGTTAAAAAGCGAAAGAAAAAACAATATCGAAGTGCTAGAGAGAGTTATGGTATAAATTTATAAAATATATATATATTTCCTCTTTCTCTTTATACGCTGGTATTTTAACGCTATCCTGAAAATTTTATTTTAAACTGATGTCATACTCGCGCAAGAATTTTAAGAGGAGCCCTTTATCAACAAGAGAGGGGACAGTTCTTTGCACCGCGTCAGATGTCAACTAATAATACCTGAATTCAACGCGCTGCGAGAGTTTGCTTTCTCTGGCAGTCTGCTGACAGATTTTTTGAATGACCGGTAGCACACTGTTCCTTAACACGGGCATACATAACAACGTCGAGTGGCTCAAAGAATTCCCCCCTTGACGCCGTTCTCTGGCGTCGTCGAGTTCGCTCCTGCCTTATTTACGCAGGTAAGACAAAGTGCACAGTCAACACGACGCGCGACAAAAGAGCGGCTTGAGTGCATTAAAATCCTGTTTAAGGCAAACAATTGCGCGCGCGTACTCCCTCTCCCTTTAATCCTTCAACCGTGTGACGCGAGTTATTATAATAATTACGCCAAGTCTTACGAGGAAACCGACGAATATTTTTTTCCATAAAGCTTCAGAGGGTACTTCTTGCCTCGGTCGTTTTCATTATCAATCTCCTTCTCTCTCGTGACTTATATTTTACTCGAATAAACGTTCTCCGATCCAACATCTCTAATAGCGTTGGAATCTTTTTATTCAAACGTAAGAAAGCTGTTATCTCTGTCATAATGTGCCGCATAAAAATACAAACTGCAACTCTAGCGCTGCTCGACGTCCCCGTTTTCCTCCTTCTTTCTCCCAGCATTATATCCACTTTTACAATTTTCCGTCGCGATCGGGCAACTGTATCCCTGTAAATGCATCGGCGCGGCCCTGCAATTTCACACTGGAAAAAGTTTAATTACTCCCGGTGCCGGGGACATATCCTGGTGTAAACATACTGTCCGCGCGTCGGTTGTACAAGCGGGAGACAGGCAGCTCTGCTCTCGACTAAATTCTTTCATGAAGGCAGGGCAGCAAAGCCGAGACGTAATGTCCGCATTCACTTGGTCGCCGGATGTCATTCCGCTTATTTTCTCTCTCTCTCTCTCTCTCTCTCCCCTCCTCTCTCTGTCTCTTTCTTTTTCTCTTTCTCTCTCTTCTTTCATTTTTTTTTTACTTTCACAGTCCGCGAGACGGAGTTTAAATTGGTCCGCTTTCCGCCGGCAATCAAAGTCTAATCAAACTTTAACGAGTATCACGAATGCTCCCTAGGTACCTGTCAAGCCGAGAATTTCAGCTACCTTTTGTCTTCTGCAAAACTGCGGATAACAATGGATTTACGATCCTTTTAAAAATTTCAACGACACTGATGGTGGCCGATTTAAGGAGCGATACATCGGGATTACACCGGCCGCTTCTTTTTGTCGGTCTTCCTTACATGCGCGACCGGTTTGCGCGAATTTTACTGGCTCATCTCGATCAATGATTCGATGGTTTTCTCTTTTCGTTTAATTGGATTGTCTAATTGGCTTCGAATTATAATTATCGCATATTAATCGAACCGTCTGGTTTCTAACCGAGAAACGTTCGACTCTTCAGATTTTATTGATCGACATTTTCTTAGAGCAATGTATAATCTCCTATTTCTTATTAACAAACTTCGACCATGTTTTCACGGGGTGGAATTTTATGTATTAATGCCATGCGTCTTAAACGTCTTTTTCTAGCGAGCTCTTAAGAAGCGCCTCTCTTGAATAGATCCTTTCGCTCACTAACATTTGCATAATGGACCTTTGCCGAGAATTTATTCGCTCGCAATTTACGCAACGCTTTTGATAAATATATATCGTCGAGATTGTTAATTCCAAAAACCAATTTATTCCAACAAACAATTGGAATTCGAATTTAGAATGCACTAATATTACGTGTAATGTATATTATCCGTTTCAATTTAACCGTATGCATAGTAGTGCGATGTTGAATGCAAAATAAACCGCGCGTGAATGCACCATCGTGTATAATTATACCGAAAATTTAAAATGCTAAAAAAGATGCGGAAATGGTTGTTTTTATCCTTGTATTTTTTTCAATTATTTTAATGTAGTTTTGTAATTCGCGTGGAAACCAAATATCTTAAAAACATCTTCTCGTTAATGATTTGAGATTTTTTTGCCGTAATACGCAATATTCACGCGAAACACCCGTTAACCGAGCCCAAAATATGTAAAATATAATTTGCTCGAAAAGAAGCATTAATTTAACAAGCAGATGCCGTGTGGTGACACAGAAACACATATTATTTCCTTTTTAAATATAATTCCATTACTATTATGAAATTACTTTCAAGAATAAATTGGTTTTATACAGTAATATTATAATTATACAGATCTGGACGAGATCTTTTGACCTAATAATATATACAGTATAAATTTATAGATCGATAAATTATAAGAAAAATGCATTTTTTTTGCTATGATTAATTATTGTATATTGTAAATTTGTCAAGAATTTTTTTATACTCTTGAACGTCTAAATCTTAGTTATTTTTTATTATATACTAACTTAATAAATTACAAAAGTTTACGTAATACTTATGTTCATATCTAAAATATTTCAATAATCCATAATTAATGGGCGCAATTTACTCGCGATATTAGGGTAATCATGTTGAAAAAAAATATATTTATTGCTGCCTTATGCTAATTGCAAACAACAAGCCAGAAACATCAGAGTTATAGCCTGCACTTGTAGTCTAGGAGCGATCTCGTTTACACTATTTCATTTCTTTGAGATCTTGAATGGGTCGCGGTCGATTTTAAAGCGCTAAACGAGCTTTACAAAGCGCATCACTGTCTTTTCATATTTTTAACTAAGCTGGAAGCTCCTCGCTTCAGAAATTACCGCTCGTTTGAGCTTTAGTTATCGCATGTAATGTAATAACAGATTATAGAACTTGTATTCATAATATTCGCCATTATTAATACAGCTATTGCACCAATATATAATGACAATAGTGCATTTTGATAATACATGAATCCGATTATATTAATTATAATTTCGTAATATTTCATCTCCCAGTATTGCGCATTGTAATAGATCGAGCCGTATTTTACTGTAAAGGCATGTATGTATTATATTTAAAATGCTCGTACAGAGTACATGGTTTCGGCTGAAGGAAACTCGAATGAAACGGTTGGTGATAAGTACACGTGAGGGAATACGAGGAAATGCAGTGTCAAGAGGACATGGTCGCCACAAATGCCCATAGTGTCCCACATATGTCCGGACGAGCCAGTTTATATTTACATGCGACATTCACGAGCCTATTCGTAACAATAACCTAGATAGAAAATAGACTTCAGCACTTATACTTATAAGAAACTATTAAAAAGTGTCTCTGTAGATGTTAATTGATATAATTATATTCTCTCTTTATGAAACTTATTAGAAACGCAATCCATATGCATGCAAATAGATACTTGCACACGCACCTGCACACGTAAAAAATGCATATTAATAGGGCCTAGGTGTTCATATATATTGCAAATATAACAGGAATGCATATTTATACGGAGGGATCGAGTTATAATGATAGACATGCCTACGTTAATTATTGTCGCGCTTATTAAACCAGGCGCTTGATATTGATGACGCGTGTCTCTTTGAAAGTAGGGAGATTATAAAAAGAGGGAATGCACAAAGGAATATTATTTATGTTATTTCATGAAATGTTTTTCCAAACAGAAGAATCATGAATACATAGATAGTTCCTTAATTGTACCCTTGTTTATTTGAAAACGAAATAATAGACAGTTATGTTGTAATTACTATGCAGTTATTGCTAAAAGTTGGTCTTAATAAAGAGAATAAATACGGAATTAACGTAATTGTGAATAGATTGAGGAAATATTGTTCAAAACATTGATAAAAAAAGAATGAAAAAGTTACGCGTGTAATCACAGTTGGAACATAAACTGAGCTTTTATGCGATCAAAGTGCAGGGTATTATGATGTTGTGACATTGCGTAATATTCCCTCGGAGATGCAATCCAATGAAACTGTAGCGGCAGAGAAAAAAGATTGGAGATATAATTTTAATCAAGTTTGTCTTATACAATAAACAAATGCGAAATTGAGTTTGTCGGCACAACAAATTATCGCGTCGAACAGCAGTTACAATCTTTTTTCCAAGCGCGGTTCAAGCTCTAACGATCGCACCCAGCCTGCGAGCGGCATTATCACAAAGAGTGGGAGGGATGGAGGAAGGGAAGGGGGTTTAGCTCTTGCAATCAGGCCACTTTCAGAACAACGCTTTGCGATATATACCAAGGCAGTGTACTCGTTCAACGATCTCTTTTCGATCTACAGCTGTAGGTAGAACTAGTCTTTGTGCAGGGCGTTGTCACGCGTCGATAATAGGGAAATATTGAATCGCTTCCTTTCTCGTACCTTCGTTTATCGAGACAAAGAGAAAGGCCACAATAGTACGCCTGGAAAAATCACTTCCGAGTATGCCGGAACGTACAAAACATTTATTACAATCCTCGATTTCTGTTCACGAATTTGCAGCAGCAGCTGCCTCGGATACAATCCGGGAGGGAGGGGGAGGTAATTGGAAAATACGGAAAACCAATCCTTAATTCGTATCGTCGTTCCCCTTAATTCGTATCGCCGTTCTCCTTCATTCGATACGCGAAAAAGCGAGTGATGAAAGGAAAGTTGCTTGTAACGCTTCCTTCTCAAGAGTTGCCAAGTTCTACTCCGTGTTGGACAGAATGTAGGATTCGAGAAAAAAGGGGTGGGAGTCTCGAGTTGTTATATCACGAGGAACGAAGAGGGAGGAAGGAAGATCGATAAAAGTTCCAGTTGATCGAGCATTTTGCATCGACTGTCGTGGCAGGCAACACCGACGCATCGATGCTGAATCCGTTGTTGCTGGGCTTGGCAGCCATGGCGACCCTTTTGGCCCTGGCCGTTGCTGGAATCCTGGCGGCGCTCTACCGGAAGCACTCCACCGGTCGACCCGGAAGTCCAAAGCACGCTCCCATCGTATGCGAGCCGCCTAATGCAGGTGCAACCACCCCAGTGCACCCTCAGACCAAGCAGGCGGTCGATGACATCGATCCGGACATCATACCGAACGAGTATGGTGAGTCTGTCGATAACCCAATCATTAGAAGAGAATTTATTTATGTGTGCATATTCATAAATTATTTTTTCGATGTAATATAATATATATAATTCAGTCATATCACATATGCATTATTTTTATAAATCGTGAATTTTATAAAAAAATCGGGAAGCTACAAGATAAAAGAGATATAAAAAGGAAAAGAGGGAGAGTACTATAAAAATAATTTTAATTTTTGAGAAATACGTAAAATAAATATAATATAAAAATTATCATTAATAAATTCTCTTACAAACTTTTATTATGAAATGTATTATTGCATATCTTTTATTTGAAATTTATATCATGCAAGATAAAAGTATATCTCCTATTAGTTTACTTACAGGTATTGCTAGATATGTATAATATAATAAATTTCTTAATCATATTCCTTTCAAAAGCCAAAATCGTTAAATAACAAGTTGACGTAGAGTTGAGTAAAGCCTGATAAATCATGTAGAAAATTGTGCGACAGCGATAACGTGTTCAATATTAAATGAGTTTAAGTTTATTATTGCTTGCCTTTAAGTAAGAGAAAGTATATGTATGTTTAAATATGTATGTATGTTTTCCGATTTTCAATACATCCCTATTACGACATTAATTACTCTTGTATATTAGATATTATACGGAATTAGATATTACGGCATTAATTTCTTGTATATTACGTGTTTAATTTATGTATTTATATAAATATAATATTATTAAGTTATTGGTAGAATTTATAGTAATAATATAAAAATATAGTATCAATATTTAATTCCTTTTATAAATTATTACTTCGTTTTTAGAGTGCATATGTAAAATTGTGTAACAGAGTAATAATAATCCAATGGAGCTTTTTGTATAATTAAAATTGCAGTAACTACAAATTAAGCCCTGTGCAAAATATTCTCGAACGAGATAGAAAAGTGTGCACGATTGAAAAAACACATCATATACACATATTTTAAATCTGCGTGAACATAATAAACCTCTAACATTATTTTCCAAGAGTATGATAACAAACACGTAATGTTAGTTTTTACTTATATAGCAAGTCCGTGAAACAAACTTCTCATTTAAATTCATTTCAGCGCGATGTTACTTTTTCCATAAAAATACATTTCCATTTGCGATATTAATACGCGAACTGCGTCGGCGGGTGAGCTCCGCGAATAATGATAATGTCGAGAAAACGAGGTTGGATTGAGATGCTTAAAAATCGAGATATTTCTCATAAAATTCGCGTTTCGTAATGAAAATTTCATCGATGGCGTAGCGCAAATCCTCGCCTTTCTCGACGTGATAAAAAATACGACACGAATCAATCCCGAGACTCATGGTTGTCGCTTTTACAAGCGATAGTATTTACAAAGTAACCGTGTCTTTCTTGATTTAATCGACTAAGCGGCTTAGTCGCTCGTTTCTGCATGGCTTCCGTAAATCTGTCCCCAGAAAGAAGACCTTTAACGTATACGCCCGTCTATAAGACACCACCACAACGAAGAAAGAAAGATCGCGCCACCGATGAGAACGCTTCACCGGAGAAAAGGCCGATCGTCCAACATAGTCTGGACTTGCCTCCGGATCCGATGTTGACCGACTGTCTGCCAACGCCCACCCTAAATTATCCGCAAAATCATGTGCCTCAGCAAAGCACTTACAATCATCCGCCCACGATGGCTGATTTCAAACAGATGGCCATGGATGCCTACAATCAGCGTAACAACCAAAACGTATGTAATTATGTTTACAATTTGTTTCCTAATTAATATGAAGACTAATTTCCTTTCCCGCGAAGAAATTAGAGTGAGCTGCTTTTTATTTTTATAAATATAATATAATATTTTTATATTATATTATAATTAATTAATTATATTATATATAATTAATTATATCATATATTTTATTATAATATTTTTGTAAATAAAATCCAATTATGTGTTTATAAGTTTAGCAAGAGAATATATGTCCTAACAAATATAATTGTTATTTGATAATGAAAACTTGATATAACGGTATTTATTATTTAATATTTCTATAAAATTATAAACTCCTTCGTTGAGTTTCAGAAAATAAGCAAACGATGCAAAATTAAAAATAAGGAATTAAAAATAGATGAAATTATAGTCGAACATATCAAATAAGCTCTACGATTTTATAATACTTGATTCGCGATTTTCACGTTCCCATCGAAATATTGCCTCGTCTATACTTTCGTAAAGCTAAATTAGAGGGATCGTTTTAAATATTAGAAGCTTGAAGCGGAGCGATGGGAAGTTAGTCGCGGGAAGGAATCGGTTGCTTCAATATGCGGCAGTCTCCCACTTTAACTTTTCCGGTTTAGCAGAGCCTTGAGTTATCTGCGCTTTCGTAAGTTTAATTACGTCGAAGTTTTCTCGATAATTCGACGAGGCCAGCCTCGATGCACGTAACTCGTCTCGTATTCGACTTCCGCTCTTCTTCGTAAGCGATCGCTTTCTATTTAGGTGCCTGAATAATTATAACATATTAAACAAATGCGAGAAGGAAAAAATTAATCAACAATTTTCTCATCGAAGTGTTAAATTACATCAAAATTACGTCAAAAATAATGTTGCTAATTAACATTTATTAAAATTTTTATCAGATAACTATAAATGTATAAATAAATAAATAAATAAAATTGAAATGAGACAAAACAGAAAGACCATAAAATGCTCAGTATTGCTCTTAGGCTAAATATTCATAAATTATCTATTCCACATAAATATACATTAATATTGCAATTTTTATACGTCTAAATAAAAATTGTGCAGCGTGTACATGTATCCCTTTCATTATTAATCAATACAATAAGTCTGATAAATATCGGACGTGCTTTTTCCTTTCAGGTATATTATAGTCTTCAGAGGACGAGCAAAGGTCTTTCGATGCCGCAAAGGCCCGTTTCATCGTCGGTCTCCGCGCAAGGCAAATTCCATCAACCGGAAGTGGTAACACGCTCGAATCGGATACAAGAGAGCTGTATATAAGTTCGGAGGAATTCCCTTTGCGGGATCGACCTCGTGAGCTTCTAAGACGCCGACGATTATATTTACACGCGTAAATGTAAAGCGTTATAGAAATCCACCCACGTGGATTCACACGACGCGAACGCGAAATCTATCTTCCCATAGTTGGTACGCGAGTTACAAACTACTCCGCGAAATACACTTAACGTTTAGCAAACAAAACAGGAAAAAGAAATTGGTGTGCAGTCGTTCTCGATCGTATTGACCGGAAATGCGATCTCCTGACGAGATTACATCGATGCCGATCCTACGGACGGTATAATCTACGTTTTCATAATTTTACTTTGAAAAACGAGATAAACGACATTAGCGAAACAGAGGGAGTACCCATACATGTCCAGAATTATTTCTTTACTGCCATATACTGAGGTATAAACGGTATATCGTAACGTACAAAGAGTCTAACCCCTAAGTAGTTAACGTCAATAACAAGAAGAAAGAGATATGAGGCTGGGTCAAAGTGAGCTGAGGGAAAATTTCAATGGTGATTTATATTTTATTCATACTTCCGGTTTCCAAGTCGCGCACAAAACAGCATCTTTTTATATGTATTTCACATACTAATTCTTTTGAAACTTTTACAATTTACAAGCTACTTTCGGATTTCCCTGACAGTCTTATAAAATAAGACGATTAAGAAGAGTATCCGAACAAAGCTTATATTCTCCAGCCTTATTCTCAAAATACTAACAATATTAATGTGATCGTATTCGAAGCTCATCAATGCTCATGTTTTCTTACGCAAAATTTTTATAACGACCCAAAGAAAAATATACTCATTCGAAGGACTTCGCCGAAACTCGAGAAGATCTTCTCTTAAGGAGCGACGTCTTCGTTCCCGATCACTGACGCGATATACGAATGTGGGTTTAACTGTTTATATGAAACTAGTTTTTGTACAAAGATCTATTGTAAATAGACACGAGCCTGGCCCTAGAGTTATAGTCACTAATGTCCAAATTTCAATCCGTTACACGTTAAGCCGAGGAATGTCCGATCGCGTAAGATAAAACTCGATGGCATACGAATACGAATAAAGAGAATACGTTTCATCTGTTTTACACAAATGAGGTCTTTCATTTATTTTGTCTTTTTACTTGACCTTTCATTATTCCTTTTCATTAAAATTGAATAATATTAATGGCAAAATTTCTACGGTAAGTAAGACGAATTTATTTGTGCAATGTATATACTTCTGTTACACTTATATTATACAGCCTCTCGTACTATCGCATTCATTTTAAAAGAGTTTCTCTATATTCAATGTACGATAGTATATATTACGCAATGTATATCTAATACGAAATGTAATTATATTGCTCGATGCACGTATCTTGATTTATGTTTCAATCAATTTTGCCATCAAAATATTGAATCTTTTTTATGAACAAATATTTATTATCTAAATTACTTATACTATTTCCAGAGAGTATGCAATCGTAAACATTATACAAGATATTTAAAGATACATTTTATTTACATTTTTATTTCTCAGGTAAGTAGACACACTTTTTTTTAATATGCCAGCAAATGCGAGTAAATGAAAATGGATGCATTTAATAACGGCAGAAAATACAAACGTTTAATGTCAGTTTCGGTATGCCGAGTGCGTCGACATCGTGGGGATCTGCAAAGGGAATAGCGATATATTTCACAAAAAGAAAATTGCCACAGGCGAGACATATCGCACCATTTCCTCGAGATAAACGCGCTGCGAGATGGCTGAAGTACTTTAAGGAAAACAGATCGTCGCGCCTCTCCATTAGCTTCGAAGAGAGCTGCAAAAGCATCCTGACAGCCGGGAGAGCATCCTATTGGACGAAGAACAGTAATTCGAGTATTTCGGGGGAGAAGGGGCGGGAGAGGGAGAGAGAATACGGGGACAGCGAGCTACAGTGTTTGCATACATTGTGCATTCTCGGTCTTGCTAACAGGGACTAACCCAGGTTGCCAGGAGTAACCTATTATTCTATGTGCCATCCGTGTCTCCAGGGCTGTTAAGACGACATACTCCGCTCCTAACGCTGTCGTAGCTATCTACCAGTCAGACTGTCACCCATTTCAACTGCGAATTGCAAGACATAATTACGATTCAACCAAGCATCATAATCGAATGATATCGCAATACATGCAGATGGAACGGTCAATGATCATACTTCATGATATCAAGTCGATTAATGCTTTGATTGAATCACAATGTCGACATTAGGGGAAATATGATGAGAAGACACTAGTTTCGTGTCTCTATTATTTTTTAAGGAATATATTCTCTTTTGCATAACAACAACTATCTCAATCAATTAAATTATTTCTGATAAATATCGATCTCGTTTGCCAGATAGATAGAAAATATAATTCGCTCATTTTTATAATTCAATAACTTTGATTTCGTTTGCAAATGTCCGTCATCTGCCTGATATCGAAGGCAAAATGCCGAGACTCGCGAGAATTTTCAATATAGAAAAACGTCGGCGGAAAATTGTCCACCATTCTCGCAAGAGGAAAACGTGTCGCGCTGCGACAAGTTTGAAAAGTAATCGAGTCGCGAGGCAATCGAGCACGCTCAATTAGCCGTGGAAATCATTTCCGGCGGTAAGTCCGGCACGATAATCCGCCGAAACGATTCCACGACGAATCCAGTCGATTCCATTTTCCAGCTGCCAAAAGTTCCATCGACTAAGTTTAAAACAGAAACGTATCTGCGTATAGCAAGAATATGCAAAGTCCTGGAGTTTACTAAAAAATTACACTGAGTGCACTATTTGCCTTTTTTAATCTAGAAAAAATTCAGAAGTATATCTCGCTTTCAAACATTAATAGATATATTTCGTGTATTTAAAAAATTACATTTTTTAGTATTAAATATATATCTTCCTTTTCTTACGTTTTTTTGCCTATCACGTATTTAGAAGTATCAATTTATTAGATTAAATGTTAATAAGTGTATTAAATGTTAATAAAAGAAAAAGACATCAAAAATAGAATAGAAAGTTTTTGTGCAAAAGCTCAAAAATTCGATAGTACCAAAATTGCTAGAATTACCTTTCGAGCGAAAAAATTGTTCTACTAAAAGGACATCTTTTAATATATTTTAGAAGGCGCATATTAAAAAGATGCACTGATCGCTTGGAAAAAATTTCGGAGAAATGTAGATAGATGTGGATTCATCGACTCTATTATTCAATTGTGTATTCTATTGCCAAAAATAGGAACTTCTCACTTCATATGAGGATAAATATTGGCTTTTCTAGTGATATGGAAATGCGACAAGTTCTTTCAGAGATATTTCAGATGCGTGTACAATGTGTGAGAACATAAGATAGTTTAAAATGTTAAATATTGCCAAGAGCCCATATACTCTTAAACGTCTTAAATTTATATTAATTTTGAATATTGATAATTATATGCAAAAAGATGGTAATATCGCAAAGCAATTGACAGATAAAAGTAAGTAATAATATACAGTTAATAAAAATGCAACTTTGAGTTGTGTTTTAAATTGAATGTAACTTAATTGTGCGTGTGAATGATTACATTTATATATTATATGTAATATAGCTAAAAATATACAGGATATCCTAGAACACTATATACAAGAGCTGAGGAGGGAGAACACAATAAATTGAACAAAAAAGTTTCTTATCGCTTTACGATTTTTGCAATAATAATAGAAATATTAAATATTAAAATCGGATGCTCTCGACGCTCGAGCTATAGCTGTCCGCCATATTGTCGCTCGAGCTATAGCTATCCGCCATATTGTCGCTCGAGCTATAGCTGTCCGCCATATTGTCGCTCCGTGTCGCACTTGCCCGCGTTGGCAGGCAATACGCCTGACACGCTTGACGGACCTTGCTATAGCTCGAGGTGCTTAACCTTTCTCTCATTCGTCCGATTTTAATATTTAATATTTAATATTTTTATTATTTTTGCGAAAATTGTAAAATAGTATGGAATTTTTTGTTCAATTTACTTTGCTCTACCTTTTCACAAGCGCTTGTAGTGCTCTGGGATATCCTGTATATATATTAAATTATAAAATTTTAAATTATATTTTAGAAAAGAATATAAATGATAAAATTATTTGAATATTTATTTTATAATTTAATTACAATTTGCATGTTATATCGTGTCATAATATATTCATATAATAATTGAGGAGTTCGTGCTACGGTCGTAACGTAGCCGAACAAGAACTACACTTATGGTATCAATCGCCCATTATATCCATGTGGTGCATGGCATTATTTTAGGCCTTGTACTTTCATCGATCCAAAGAAAACGGTTATAAGTATTAATTCTCAATTATACTCTAGTTCTAATGTCGACGATATTTGTGCTTCAATTTTATCGTCAGTTAATTTTGTTGTTAGCGCTAGTTAATAATAACGACATCTTTACATTATGCATCAATTATTTAACATCTTAAAAACATATTTTTATGCATGCCTATGTAGCGCGAAACGAAATAGCAGAGTAGAAAAATAAGAATATTAGACAACAATCACTATCAATTTGCGAAAATGGGACAAGCATCATCACGCGACAAGATTGCTTTGAAAATGTAGTAATTTTCTGTCGCATACTTAGCTTTGTCGCCACTGACACTATTCGTCAAGCTAATGACATACACTCAACGAATGCGACAAAATTACATTTGAAATCTAACGTAGCGAAACATTGGCTTTGTGTTAAGGTGTACTAACGAGTACGGGCGCAATTTTGTGTTCAGCTTTGCACTAAGATAAGACAAGATTTAATCTCACCAACAAATGAGATGAAAGACATAGAAAGAATATTAGCAAATAAATTTATACGCGAGTAACGTTGTAAATCATAAAATATGCATTCTAGATTTTCTTTACTTCTTTTCATATGTGCATATGTTTTGACCAAAAGTTTTGAAAAAAATTTACGCTTCTTTATTTAACTTTTCTTTTAATTTAAATGGATTATAAAAATTAGCTTTATAAAAAAATTTAAATGAAAAACACATTTTCTTTCATAACTTTTTAATATTTATAAAATCTTAATAATTTTTATATAATTAATTCTTAAATTAAAAAAATTAAATCCTCTTAAAACAAAATAAAATTTTAATATCGATTTGCATTCTTTATGACTAATATGTGAAAATTCTTGAATTATTTATTATTTAAAGAATGTTTCGGTATTTTTATTGATTAAAAACAATGAAAATCCATTAGTCAAAGAATTTACAAATAAAAAAAGTTATATATAAAAGACATTTTCGTATTTTTATATCAATCTCAACATAAGTTGTCAAGATTAAAATTAAAATCCAAGTACTTCAATTATGCAACGATATATTGCAATACACTACAATTGAATTGATGACCTAAGTATAGTAATTGGAAAGTGTAGTCGCTTATATTATTTATTATCTATCTTCTTTTGTTATGTCCTTATCATTCACGAATTTAATCATCAGATTTCGATGTTTGAGATGCCCTATAAATAATAATGCATTAATCGTACAGCAAAATGACATGTGTATGTAATTGCTGAATGTGTTATTATAAATATTTGAAAGAGATGGCAATCGGCATAAATATATCATGAGAAAAGTAACATCGATTATATATAGCGGATTTTTAATGTCTTCAGATTAAGCAAATCCATTATTGAAAATTATTCAGTTGCTGTCATCATTTACTGTTTTATTAATATTCATAAACACATTCATAATTCATAATCTTCTCAATCTTATTCCTCTCTTTCTCTGAGCAACATAGCTTCATAACAACATGACTTCATTGCTTTTATTAAAAGAAAATTGGCTACAGATAAGTAATAATGAAGTCAGATGGGAGGTCTTATTTATACGTACTACATTGGATATGTATATTGATCTACAGAGAGATATTAATATAGAACGTTTAATAGCACACTAAGAACATAGTTAGTTCATTAAATCCCACTGGATCTTATCGGGCGCGATAACATTAAATCTGCGCTATCTAAGTATTTCAAGCACAAACAGATATCTGTAAAGAAATATCGAGAAACGTAACTCCGATCCTATAGAACGTTATTGCTCCCTTGC